ATTCTTACAAGTCATAATATATCAAACAAAGCTACTCATGCCCGTAAACTACCGAGCGAAGTACAAATGCTCAAAACGACGGGCCAGATCGTTATATTTAAGCTCTACAAATACTGCCCTTCAGAGTTGAATTTGTCAACTATCACTTCTTCAAAATCACAAAGTTAATTTTCATACCCATTTCTCATGTACCGGTGCTCCCAAAATCGTTTGATATACGGTTTCCTCACCAACTTTCCTTGAATCCCTAATCCTTTAAATGGATTATCCACAATAATAATTGGATGAGAATTGGAACAGCAACCAAAGCAACTTCTGTTCTGTTCAAATTCAGGTTTATTTGCATATTCAAAGCTTTGAAGCTTGTTCTTTCATGGTGGGCTTCAATTGTTTCCCTATTTTTTTTATCACCAACAACTTCTTTTGCTCAAATCAGATTTATGCCTCACGCCTCTCTTAAAAAACACTATCACATATTTCTAATTAAAAGCAAATGGGTTTTCAAATATTTTAAACAATTATACCCGAAAATTGTGAAGAATCGAGTTGTTATGCTTTCTGATCTTTCTTTCTTCTTTTTATGTAATCTTTCGAAAATCGTGATTGAAAAAATGTGGAACCTCACAAACCTAATTTCTAACCATGAGATATTATTTCTCCATTTTGGTTGGAGGGGGAAATAAATTGAAGAAATTTGCTTTTCTTTAAAAAACAAGGAAAATAAAGATGTTTTAGAGCATGAAATTACTTCTTTTTTTCTAATTGTTGAATCGATCAAGTGGTGAAACATGGAGCTTAATGGTAAAAGTTGGTATGAGGAAGATGAAAATGGCGGTATTAGGGCAATTTATCGTGAACTGTTGACTGGATTTGATGCACATGGGTCGGGTAATGGGCAAACAATTAGGGGTGGGTTTTAATTGGATCCGGCTATTAAAACAGGGGTGAGCTGCCACGTTGCACTCTGTTAAAATTAGGGTATATTTATGTGATAGTATAACAATAGGGACTCAAACGGCCAAATGGTATAACAAAGGATATGATTAAACAATATTTGAAAGTAGATGGATATATTTGACCCTTGTTCATTAAAAATATTCATGAATAATTTGTATAGTCTAGTACCTTTAGCATTCACATCAATAATAATTTCTGAAAATAGTGGACCAAGAAGAACAACAAGTGATTTAAATAAAAGAAAATTGGGAGATTTAGATTACTTAATAGATCAAGAGGTAATTTTTAAAAAATTACTGATGGTAAGGGTAAATTTGGCTGGATAATATAACAGTATGAGTATACTTGGCCAAATTTGGCTAGATAATATAACAGTATGAGTATACTTGGCCAGATAGTATAACGAAGGTTAAATGTAGACAATATCCGAAAGTAAAGGGATATATTTGACCCGTTTCCCTTATATTTATGTGTCATCTCTATCTTCAAGAACAATTACTACTAAGGGTAAAATGAGAAAAATCCGAAAGTAATTTTGCTTGAACCTCTAAAATGATAAATAATTTGAGACAACTATTTTTAGAAACCACGATAGATAATTTGAGAGTGAGTGAGTAACTACTACTCCTTGATTTAGTAATAACATTACTTATTACATATGTTATATATTTATTGGATTATTATTGTCGGTAGTGAAGCTAAAATTTTACTGAAAAATGTCAAATATAACAAACAAATAAAGAAAGTAAAGGGAGTCAACATATAACATATCCTTAAAAAATAAAACGACGCCCAACTCAACTGAAGAGACCTAGCCTGATACGAGAAGTGCTAATTTGATTCAGAGAGGCAAAGTTATCGCCCAAGCAATAAATAAGAAAACAAGTGTTAAGTTTCAGATTAGTGAATAAACCGAAAGGAAAGAGGAGACCTTTCTCGCTTAGCGTGGGCTTATCACTTTCTTTTTTCAGGTTGAGCTTGTTCAATTGAAGCTACTGCTTTGATGCCCTTCCTTGTTCAAGAGAGAGCGAGGATTTTTTTCAACTACTGGCCTTTTGATCTTAACATAAGGTGGCTCCACAACTGTTTGGTATAAAACACACGGTATAAGTATAGGGTACCTCTTCATATTTACACTAACATAATGATTACTCTTTACTTTATACTCTACCACTAAATTATAGGTAATTAGTAATAGTTAATTAGTTAATATTTTTTTGCATTCTATGTTTCCATCAAAACTATTAAATTACTTATCTCAAGGTTAAGTGCTCGTCTTGGATTTGGTTGTGCCTTATGGGTCGGTCATGCTCATACTGACGCCGACGTTAATGAGGAATAGAAGGGAAGTCTTGGCGTAACTAGTAAAATTGTTGTTATATGACCATGAGGTAACGGGTTCAAGCCGTGAAAATAACCTCTTGCAGAAATGTAGGGTAAGGTTGCGTACGATAAACCCATGTGGTCCAGCCCTTTCCTACATTCCGCGCGTAGTGGAAGCTTAGTGCATCTGACTGCCCTAATCATGCATCTATCTCTATGGTGGAAATACATAATTGGTAGTTTGCTACCAAATAATGTGTTTTAAAATGCGTGGGCGTAAGGCGAGGCATTTTACATATGCCTCAGTGAGGCGTAAGCCCCGAGACACGGGGCGTAAGCCCCATAGGTATTTAATTTTTAATATTTTATAAAATAATATAATGACAATAAATATTTATAAACGGGTAAAATTGAATAAAAATTGAAGAAAACTATAAATATGGATGCCTTAATCATGCATTTATCTCTATGGTGGAAATATATAATTGGTAGTTTGCTACCAAATAATGTGTTTTAAAAGGCGTGGGCGTAAGGCGGAGCGTTTTACATATGCCTCAGCGAGGCATAAGCACCGAGGCACGGGGCGTAAACCCCATATGTGTTTAATTTTTAATATGTAAATATTTATAAACGATAAAATTGCATAAAAATTGAAAACAAACTCTCTCTCTCTCTCTCTCTCTCTCTCTCTCTCTATATATATATATATATATATATATATATATATATATACACACACACGCTACTTAATAATCAAAACAATCTATTATATGCTACTTACAAGCACAAGTAATTTGAGTCTAAAAGAATAAAGTTTTCTATATGGAGGAACAAAAATGATGATTAACCTACAATTTGAACTTTGAACTTGCTGCTATGAAGGAGAATGTAGTTCTCTTTGTATTTGCAAAAAAAAATTAAATATTCGTTGCATTTGGAAGATATTAACAGACTAGCGTACAAGATAAAAAATTGGGAAAGACCATGAATTAGGGTTTCAATCAATAAAAAAGGCCTTGACTTTTAAATTTAATACTTTTGAGTTCATTTTTAAACCTTTTGAGTAATTATCAAATTGACTTTTGAGAATTTGGGTATTATATGAAGGACTTATTCAACAAATTTTATTTTAATTTGAAAAAGTCTCTGAGGCTTACTACTCACTAAAAACCGCTCCTCGAACGCCCAAGCGTACGCCTCTTGAGACTTTCGCCCCACACCATCGCCCCGGAGCATTTTTGATACGCCTCGCCCCAAAAACGCCTTTTAAAACAATCCAAATATAATAACTAACGCTATTAATTACTCCATTTGTTTCAGTTTATGTGAACCTATTTGATTGGGCACGAAATTTAAGAAAAAAAGAGAAGATAGTTAAATTTGTGGTGTAAAATGAGACACATATATTTTATGTGGCTATAAATCATTGAACAAAGGTAAATTGTTTCCAAATATGAAAAGGTATTATTTTTTTGACACGGACTAAAAAGGGAATAGGTCCACATAAATTAAAACGGAAGGAGTACTTTTTTAATGGGTGTCCCAAAACTTTAAAAAAATTTGTAAAATGAACCAAAGGGAGTATAAAATAAAATTTTACTTTATATATGAATTTTTCTAATTTATTACATAACATTAATAAGTTAGTATTATAATTTAAACTCATTTTTATTCTTCAAAATATCATACCAGCGCGTTAATTATAATGATTGTCTTTAACCCAACTTCCCCCATTTTTTTTTTCTTCTCTTTTGTTCTTAAATTAATAACACTGTATAGTCGCTCTCGAAATAATAGTTAAAAAGATAATTTTTGTATATATATATATATATATATATATATATATATATACATTTTTATATGTCAAAAATTATATAAATTTTATATATTTTTGCGGCTACCAAATAAAAATAATTTCGGCCTCAGGCTAAAAGTCATCTATGCCTGTTTTTAAATTTTAACTCAATTCATCCCCTTCAGAATACCCTGGTCTTCTTAGTGTTTCCAAATCAAAGTGGGAAGACTGTAGAGAAGCTTAAATTTTGATCATATTCCCTTCGAAAAAGCAAAAAATGGAAGATATTAAGAGATAAAAAAAACATATCCTAAAGGGAAAAATAAAGAAAATTCAAGGGATTTTATTTGATATTTATGAATTATCCAATCAAATTTTATTGGATGCTTTCCGGGGAAAATCAACAACGTAGGAATCATCAAAACACCAAACTATCCAATGTAGAGAGAGTTTCTCAGCTACAGAAGCAAACCCGTAGGCTTTCGCTTTCTCTCTAAAATTGCATTCTTATCATTCCTAAACTATTAGCATTTATATAGTCATGTTAAAATTGCATTCTTATCATTCCTTAACTATTAGCATTTGTATAGTCATGTTACTCCCCAAACTGTTAGTCCAAAAATCTCAAAAGCAGTCATGTTACTCCCTAAAGTAGTAGCATTTGTATAACCACAACAACCCCAGTGAAATCCCACGGTAGAGTATGAGGAGGATAATATGTATGCAGATCTTACCCCTAACCCTGGGAAGGTAGAGGGGTTGTTTTCGTATAACAACAACAACCACCCAATAAAATACCACAAATAGAATTTAGAGAGGGTAATGTGTACACAGACCTTACCCTACCCTGGAAAGTTATAGAGGCCGTTTCCAATAGGCCCCAAAATATAATCGAGAAGTATTCTAATTCTACTTAGACAACGTATGCACATATGAGGAGTTCATCTTTACAAGACAAGCAGATAATCAGGTGAATTATGCCTTCACTTTCAAAGACCATAGATCCACTAACATAATACACTTTTCCAACCCTTTCTTCATATGAAAAAGGCAAGAAGGTTCTTAGCAGCGTCAACAGCAATAACGGATGCATAGGAAGAAAAAAAACATGAAGAAAAAAAAGTAGAATTTACGAAGATGTTGTTAAGCTCAAACACAAAATGTTGTAAGCTCAATGTAAACCTGCTACTGAACCAGTCTCATTCCTCCTCCTCCATGCTTCATAGGAAAAAAAATTCCTTTAACTTAATGAGACTATATTTGATGGATTATTTATTTGTTGATTCAGTGCCCATTTCCCAAAAACACTGACAAACATCTGCCATGACCTTCATCACGGAAAAATTAGGATCAAGTTCTTTGTATTGTTTGAGATATTTATCCTCCATTAACTTCACTACTTTATCGAGAGCAGGCATGTGGAAATCTGATCTTCCAAGAACCGGGCCACACTTCAAGATAATTTTCACCTCTCCAGATAGTGAGGAAGCTATCTCCAGGCCAGTTGGAGATTTAACAGCGCTTGTTTCAGGCTTGCTGTTAGGTACTCCTCGACAAGGTGGAATTCCATCATTTGTATCTGACTCAACTACATTTGGCAATGTGTCACTTTTACTCGATGAACCTACAAATTCAGATTACATATTTTGAGAGAAGCAAAAGACACACCTCATAGGTCTTGTATCGAAGTTAAAAGACTAACAGAAAGTAATAATCATAGTGATCAAGGATACATCCCTCGTAATCACAAATGTTAACTGCAACTCAAGTACACTTTTCGTGTTTCTCTAATATTACTTTCTGTACAATTGGAGACAAGAACAGATGGAAATGGATAATCTAGCCAATTCTTGAAAGTTGAATAGGCAAATAAGAAATTTGAAATTCAGTGGAAGTATTGGGAAAATCTCAATTTGGATACACACACAAGACCTAGAGCTGTGGTTGAGATCCTGAAACACTCTTCCTTAAAGTCAATAGGATTAAAATGTTGTTAATGCAAAATTTGCAAAGCGAAGCGATCTAGTTGTTAAAGGAGGTGTCAAAATTATCAACAACCTAACATTTCATTCCATTTTTAAAACTTTGCCAATAGCAAGAGCACACATAAAATAGTCCTTTTCAGCACTTGTTCTATAATTAATAGATTGAACCATAAACGGAAATGAGATACCCTCTACCTGGATGGATGACGGCAAGAGGAACTTCAAGATGTGGCAGGTCATCAGTGATCGGCTCATCCTTAGGTTTGATAAAAGCATGGTTAGCATTGGATTTCTTTGTAGGTGACACTGGGATTCCATTACCAGAAATAGATCCAGCTCTTCTAGAAACTGGAAGGCTCTTGTCTATGTTAGAAGGCTGAGATAAAGGAGATCCTCCCTGTGGTACTAAAGAATTGGATGAAATAGGTTGTTTTCCTTTGTTTCTACCAAGTAATGGACAAGATGCGGCCTGTGATTCGTCGCCCATGGATTGAGAGGAATCTAGAACACCCAGTGGCTGGATTTGCACATGAGATTCAGGAGAAACATATGGTTGACTTAATTGATTTTTTAACCGCTGCCTTTTCAGAGGTGGTTCAGGCTCATCATGCATAAGCTCCTCTTGCTGAACGAAATCAAAAAGTGAAAGGTAGTAAAGGTGAGTAGAAAGACTCCAGAAAAATGCCATATTATGGAAGACAATAGCCAGAAAACAAGAATACTAAAGTAGATCAATACTTCAGAATTCTCGGATGACTTTTTATTTTCTGTTTCCTGCAATGAAAGAAAGCATGTCAGCAAAATAAGCTCACATGAAAGAGACGGCAGAAAACTGAAAACAACTCTCTATTCCATTTATGTGGCACTCTTTTATTTTTTGTATGTTTCAAGAAAAATGACAACAACAACAACCCAGTATAATCCCACAAGTGGGGTCTGGGGAGGGTAGAGTGTACGCAGATCTTACCCCTACCCCCAGAGGGGGTAGAGAGGCTGTTTCCGAACAATAAAAATGACACCTTTCTATATTTCGAACAATTTCACTTCAAACTTTCCATTTTACCCTTAATCACGTGCTTCTATAACCACAGAAATGTCACGGTATGTTTAAGACTACAAGTTCCAAAAGTCTTCCTTTCTTTCTTAAACTACATGCCTAGTTAAACACATTCACATAAAATAAAATGAAACGGAGGGACTACTCATTAAAAAGGAAGAGAAACAGAAGTGTATTAAATGAAGGAAATTAGCACCTTTGCTTCCTCGTTTTCAAATATCGCATCTGCAAGGACCCTGTAGTTCTCCTCCTGTATAAGGTCCCAATTTTTATTATACAGTATTAACAGTTTCTTCAACACTGGCTTCACCTTGTCTCCAGAAATCCCGATAGCTTTCATAGCACGAAAGGCACCATCGACCCTAGAGCTTGGAGGCATTGTTTATCGAAGCTGATTTAAGATAGCAGCTTGAAATTGAGCCTGCATTTTCCAAGACATCATCTGCTAGAGAAGGGGACAAGATACAAAGTACTAGATAGCAAACAAGAATTACACAGCCGTAACACCAAAGACACACGTAACTGAGGCTTTGAATACCCAAATATAATAACTAATCCAAACATACAGACAATGATTTCCCAAGGTAAGTTGGTAAGAAAATCGCATAAAGCTGATGGGATGTTTCCTCCATCAGCTGGCTTTTGAAAATTCAACACTAGGACCAAAAGAGTATTTAAAAACTGAATTAGTCCAAGACATCTAAGGCTTTATGCGACTCCTGTAAAAGATATAGCATCAAAGTAAGTCCTACAAGAGAGAAAATATGTATAATTACAAGCACAGCTAGTTAAGAATTCCAAACATGAAAGATTACAACTTTCGAGGAATCTGATTAAGTGGGAAAACGTTTACATCATCCAGTGCACATAGAAAGATTGCTTCCAGATGGCTGAGATTCTTCAACAACAACTATGCCACAATCCCAAACAAGTTGTGGTTGGTTATATGAATCCTCACGGACCGTGTCGCTCCATTTAAGCTCATCCTAGACCGATATATGCAAAATAAAAATAAAAAGTACTAGAAGTTGGCATATAAAGAAGGCTGAAGATCCTTAGACTAGGAAATAATACTGCAAGCTTCTCTTACCTTCTTAAGAAAGTGGTTATGAGCACAAACATACAACACTAAAATCTAAACAAATTTATTACAACCTCCGTCCCATTTTATGTATGTTGTATGACTTAGGTACAGAATTTAAGAAAGAAAGGTTTTCAGACTTGTGGTCTAAGCCAACCCATAGATACTTTTTTTTTTTTTTTTTTGATAACCGTGGTGTCCGGGCCAGCTTGCGCGCACCTCGACTAATTCCACGGGATACCTGCCACCTGCCACCAGCAACATGTACCAGGTAACTCTATCCACCAAGGCTTGGATAGATGGGAAGAAATCACCTAGTATTTGCCTCCGCTGGGATTTGAACCTGAGACCTCATGGTTCTAACCCACTTCTTTGACCACTAGGCCACACCCTTGGGTGCAAGCCAACCCATAGATACTTATGTGGCTAAATGCCTACATCATCTTGTTTCGGGTAAAATGAGAAGTTTAAAATTATTATTTCTAAATATAGAAAGGTATCATTTCTTTTTGGGAATGACTAATAAGGAAAGTACATCACATAAATTGGAATTGATGGAGTATAAGGTAGTTTTAGAGCATACTAGTATTTGTGATTATTCATGATTTAGTGATATTATGGTGGTGTTAGTTGGTAGTTCAGATAATAAGGGATGGAAGACAAACAAATAGGGTAGTAAATAATACTCCTTCTGTCCCAATTTATGTGAAACTCTTTCCTTTTTAATCAGTCCCAAAAAGAACGATACATTTCTATATTTTGTAACAATTAAACTTTAAACTACTCATTTTACCCTTAATGTGATGATTTATAACAACAAAGATTTGTATTTTTTGTTTTAAATCACAAGTTTCAAAAGTCTTTCTTTCATTCTTAAACTTCGTGCCAACCAAACACTATCATGTAAATTGGGACGCAGGGAGATAGATTTGATAGTGGATAATAAGTATGCATGTAACTGGATTAGTAGCCTTAAGAAGAGTAAAGAGTTAAAAAAATATATGATTAAACTACAACTATAATTTCAGGGGTGGACCTAGAATAGAGGGTGTGATGGTCCAATTCTACATAGTTCTTCGCTTTGGCTTAGACCCTATATTTGTGTAAACAATTCACCAGATAACTACAAATTATAGGTTTTGAACCCAACATTGTGATAGAATCCCTAACTCAAACGCATAAAGTTCAAATACTGATCCGCCTACGCATAATGTAACTAACTCATGAATAGTCATAAATACTAATATGCTCTGAAAGACTGAAACTAACACATTGCCAGCATAGAGGATCATAAGAAAAATATATTCTTTACGAGCATTTCTCGTAAATAAATCCAAATTTTCATCCACACATGAAAAAGCAACTTCAAGGCATATGGTTTTCAATGTTAGAAGCTCTGTAAGGACAGTCGAATTGCCACAACTGAAACTACATTATTAAAGAAGAATAACCCCCTAGGCAGTGGCCTTGTGGTCTAACAGTTTTGAGTAATAACCTTTGGTCGTACAAATCCTGCGGAGTCGACACTAGGCCAACTCTTTCAATCTGTGTAAACTTTCGTGAGCAGAATTACCAAGTACCTCCGCTGATGGGAGGTAATAGTTAATCTCTGGATTAGTCGAGATATACACGAGCTAGCTCCAACATCACCTTCATAAAGACAAAAAAAATTCTATTAAATGAGAGCAAAAAAAACATGATAATTCATGCACAACAATACTCCTAAAATACACAGCATTCATAAAATCACTAGAAACTTCTGGGAAATAAAATTAAAACTTGATCTTGTAGTTGTTAAACTGGTCAAATTCACCCAAACTGTAAAGCCTGTAACAGAATCGAAGAATAGCAAGCCACTGAAATTCTAACTAATAGCAGTTCAACCCTAACGAAAACTAAATGCACACACACACACACACCAAAAAAAAAAAAAAGGTCAAGATGAAATTAACATTACATGAAAATGAAAAATACTGGATTCGTACCCACTGCTATAAAATAGGAGTGGGTACGGTAGTGCGAGAGCCGTGGATACAATCTCCACCCACAGCTATCAATTTGAACCAGGTATATAATTAATTCTTTTTTCAATTAAAAGAAATTAACAATAATTTATAGTGCATTTGTACAAACTGCAACAAAATAATTCTGAACCCACTAATTCTAATTAAAGCATTTAGTAAAATGAGAATGTACCATTACCATGGAAAATGAGGTTTAACTCCAGCAGCAGTCAATTTGCAGAGAAAGTGAAGGGCGCACGGCGCAGTGAATAAATTGTATTGGGGTAATACGAGAGAAAATGTTGTTAAATTGACGCGTCAGCAATGGCGTTTGTATTTATTGAATTTTTAACTCAAATGGTCCTTTATGTTCGTGATTAGGTTGAAAATAGTCCTTTATGTTATAAATATATTATATTATGCATGTTCATTTAGTACTCCGTTAAAAATAAGCTTCCTGAATAACCTTATATATATGAGACTCCGCCATAAATATGTTAATCTATTTAGTACTCTATTGGAAATAAGTGCTTATCCTTTCAGTACCCCGTTATGGATAAACATCACACCCGGTAGAAAATTATTTATATGTGGTACAATGAGTTTATCCTTTCGGTACCCCACTATGGATAAATATTACCCCCGGTAGAAGATTATCTATATCTGGTATAATGAGTTTATCCTTTTGGTACTCCGTTATGGATAAACATTACTACCGGTAAAAGATTATCTATATCTGGTATAATGAGTTTATCCTTTTGGTACTCCGTTATGGATAAACATTACTACCGGTAAAAGATTATCTATATCTGGTATAATGAGCTTATCCTTTCGGTATTCCGTTATGGATAAACATTACCCCCGGTAGAAGATTATATATATCTGGTACAGAAGCAGCTTACACTGCAGCTTGCTTTCTTCTATAAATAGAAGAGATTTCAGTTCATTATATACAGAAGTTTGAATAATATATCAGTTTCTCTCTATACTTGTCTTTACTTTACAGCCTTTATTTTATAACACGTTATCAACACGAGACTCTGCCATCTCGAGCAAATACTTTGAAAGTATCAGAGGTACGAACTTTCTTTTTCTAAATAATGTCAAATCTTTCTAAACTTGAGTTTGTAGCCCTGAATATATCGAACAAAAACTACATGTCTTGGGTGCTTGATGCTGAAATTCATCTTGATGCGATGGGTCTGGCAGACACCATCATGGACAAAAATCAAGCATCAAACCAAGACCGTGCCAAAGTAATGATATTCCTACGCCATCACCTTGATGAAGGCTTGAAAATGGAATATCTCACTATTAAAGATCCAGTCATACTGTGGAATAATTTGAAAGATAGATATGACCACCTGAAGGTGGCCGTTCTTCCGCAGGCACGTTATGATTGGACTCATCTAAGGCTACAAGATTTTAAATCTATCAGTGAGTATAATTCTGCTATGTTCAGAATTATTTCCCAGATGAAACTATGTGGTGATAATATTACAGATCATGATATGTTGGGAGAAAACTTTCACCATTTTTCATGCCTCGAATATGCTCCTGCAGCAGCAATATCGAGAAATAGGATTCAAAAAGTATTCTGAACTTATCTTACATCTTCTTGTAACCGAGCAACATAATGGGCTATTAATGAAAAACCATGAAAGCCGACCTAC